GAACATAGGAAAATTTCGTACTTCCTCCCTTAAACTTATTGACAAAAAAATAAAGACATGATGAATTTTGTTTTTTGTCAGAAAATGAATCTTTTATCGAAAAACAATATATTCTTGTTTTGGTGAAAGCTAACTAAAGAAAGACAACTACATACGATATAAATCATATAGAAAAAAAAAATCTTTTTTGAAAATAAAATATCCATATGTAAAGTTAACTCAAAGAACTTTGTAATAAAAGCACTTTTGTGCAATGTCGAAGCATTATTTGGTTACATGCCAAGTAACACTTTTGTTAAAAGTTTTACTACCCAAGTGCTACGGACAAAAAATGGTATTGAGTAAAAAAGCTCATAGAATATATAGCACTTCCAAATGATCTTTTAATTACACCTTAAACAAAGTAATTTATTATCCACCCAATATTAGACACCCACAAGGGTTTAGAAACAGCAAGGGCAACATAGTGTGCTATGATATGCTATCAACCCTCAGTTTTTATCATATTCATAACTTCACTTACCCATTTATTTAACAATCTAACCCTAACTTACACACAATCCACTTACATTGTGAATTTGTGATGATAGAGCACAATGAACGAACAAATTGACATATATGACGCAGAAACGACAAGACTTTTGAGTGTTTTACAACTTTTAGTTAGGTTTTTGAGTTTGAAAAAAATAGTATGTGTTAACCAAAGCCGCAAAAACCTTGCATTTAGTTGTCAAAGGAGATCGCACGCTGCCAGGAGGTTCGAGGGAGAGGCGAGATAAAAGATCTAGGTTTATCGTGAAAGAAGTGAGAGAGCTTGAGGGAAAGATGTGTTACTACATGCGGATGAGATGGGGTTTAATTTTTAGGAAAATGCTAGAGCGAGCACACATGATGTGACTGCTTACATGTAATGCTACATCATTAAATTTAAGAGAACTTTAATGAAAAGCTCATGATATTGTTTATTTTAATGAAAAACTACATTTTAACACTAAAAAGTCAATCATGGTACTATTCATTTTACCATTTATTATTATTTTTTGTTAAAATTCAAAGTTTTCAAACACTTTTCATTAATTTTTCTTAAATTTAATGAGTCATCGTATAATTTTATTTGTTATTTTTAATCAACATAGTTTATCCCAAATTATTTTCAATCCCTTTGTTCTTCTCATCTCCAAACCCTAATCTCTTTCTCATCCTTCCTCACTAGCCGGAATCATCGCACCCTAGGGGGTGGGCATTCGGAACAGGATACCCAAACCGAACACGGACCGTCTAGTACCGAATGAGTATTTAATGGTACGATATCAGTTCTGAATTTTCAAAATTGAAAACAAAACTGTACCGAAGCGAATAAAGCAAATGCATAGAAGAAGAGATTGGAAGCAGCATGTGTATTGTATAGCAGCGACGACGGAAGGCGATGAGAAGTCTGGAGGAAGAAGATGACGTTACTAGGTTATGCAAGACGTCGTCGTTCTGCTTAAAAAACATATAGATGGGCTTCATTAAAAATCAAGATATAGATGAGGTTTATTTTTTATTTTTTATTTCTTTTTGGAACATCTATTGGCCACTTAGTAGTTAGTACTAACATTAACTGATATTCATTTTCACTTGTAAGTCAAAGATTTTAAATTTGATTCTCATCAAAAACGAATTTAAACCACATTATTGCCACCACTATCATCTCCCAAAAAAAACCATTAAATTGAGTAGTCGATTCAATCTCTAAGAAACCCAAATCACCTCCAAACCGAAGAAACCTAAGTCAATCCGAAACTGAAATGTTAGTATGAAACCGAAGCATCCCAAGACCGAATTGATACCATCGGTATATTCGGTACAAACTCTCGAATCATACCATATTGATACAAAATTTCGGTTTCGGTTTCTATTAGGGACGAAGCTAGAGGTGGGCATCCTCAAACAACAAATTTACAAATTAAAATGCTCAATAATTTACTTAACAAAACACTTATATATTAATTCATAAAACTAAAAACTAGAGATCTCATGTTCGAAACCCATTGCTGGTGTGGAAGCCAGACTTGTGTCCTGGGAGAGGTTGAAATGCCTATGCAAGTCTTCCCAGCCCTCTGAATGGGTGGATAACTGTAGCTTACCACCGGTTGTCCATTTAAAAAAAAAAAAACCATAAGATTTTTCATACAATATATTATAATATTTCTCGACGCATTTTTATGTTTTAACAACGTTGCATGAAAATTTCATTACCAATACCATAAAATATCTCTCTTTTTGAAAATAATCATGTAATCATTCATCCATTGATCTTCCATCCAATATTCTTTAGAAATTTCATAATTGAAAATGTTCTATCATATGAAATTATTGGATGCAATATGTACAATTTTTTCACCAAAAAATTTAAGGGAACTTTAACGAAAAGCTCCTGGTACTGTTCACTTTAACGAAAAACCACATTTTTACACTAAAAAGTCAATCCTGGTACTATTCACTTTACCCTTTATTTTGTCCTTATCATTAAAACTCAAAGTTTTCAAGCCCTTTTCATTAATTTTCCTAAAATTTAATGGGGGCATCCGCCCCTAGCCAAGTTGGCTCTGTCCATGGTTCCGTACAACTCCCATCTCGAACCAAATCGTACCATGCCCAGGCCTACCCAACCCTAGCACTTTGTTTTATCAATCAATGAAAATTTCAGTCCCAACCATGTTTAACAAAGAGTGGTCACCAAAAAACAACTTTGGGGTCCATGATACTCGGAATTGGAAAAGGATACTCTCCAAATCCTTTTGTGGGGATTCAGGAGATCAATCAATCATATTCGTTTATTGTACATCGTGTGGCCAGAAATCATTTAAAATTTAAAATTAAATATAAATAGTATCTAATGAAAATTAACTGCACGATATACGATAAACGGATATGATTGATTGATCGTTCGAATCTCCATAAAAAGGATCCGGAGAGAATTCTTTTCCCTTGTAATTAACCTTTTCCTCTTTTCATACTGATCGTTGAACAGGCACTTCATCATGTGGTGGGAAATATCACATGATCTAATTTTTAAGTGCCCAAGTAAATGTGTTGATCAAATTAAAGTGAGGGGTATATTTGTACATATGGTAATTAATTATGTGTGTCCAGATGAAAAATGTCCCAGCCCAGAAGCTGATTTCTCAACTCTAATGAGAACGTTTGGATCAAAATCCTAATGGCTACTCCAAAGCATTTGGCAACCAACAGGAAGTTGACATCTGAGAAGACTTGCAAGCGAGAAAATCCTTTTTATGAATATCACTTACACACGTCACGCAGTATATCAATTTACGTATTAAAATAAGAGTGAATAATTTGTTTAATAACTTGATATATCCCACTTTAAGTGTTTACTTGTAAAAACAAATTCGCATGCTAGAGTAAAATAATAATGGACATGATCGTGTTCTTGTACACTGAAATAATTGCTCCATACAAAGAGGAATTCCAAAATTTATTCGCATACGTTTAAACTTGCCCATATTTGTCACAATTAACCTACAAATTGAATTTCTGACACACCCCGACCCGAAATGTCCACTAGGACTCCGAATCGAGTTATGCTGGCCGACACCTTGAAGGTGATGAAGTCATAAAGTATAGTGATGTGGAAAATGTGAATAAATTTAAACCTAAAAATGCCTAAATACCAGAGTGCGTTGTGTGCGGGAATGAACTCATTTCATACGCGATGTCAGAGCATAAGTAAAGTACAGTAGTGTGGGTAAGGATCATACCCTCAGAGATAGCCACCTATACTGAGATTCGCCAAGAATCCTCGTCGATACGAACTTTTAGCAGTTAAAACTTGGAGGGGCAAAAAATAAAAAACGTGAGGGGGCAAAAACAAAGCTTTTGTAAAAACATTTCTCTTTCCAAAAATAATAACCCCTCACCGTAAAACCCGAATAATTTTCCAGAAAATAATAATACATACGTATATAGAAATCAGGCTTGAGAGCAATGAAAACCAAAGTGAGTGCCATGTTAAGTATCTCAGTAATAAAATAAGTAAGTCAGGTGATGCGAATCAATATAATATGATATGTAAGCCGGAGTCACCTAACGTGACCTGTACGGCTGAACTTATAGCTTATAACCAATTCCTGCACACGAGTCGGAACCACCAATGTTGTCTGTACGACATATTAGGTGTAAATAAATACGCTCAAGTGCTACGATCACGTGAAGACTGTGCGAAGTATCGCAAGTCACCTATGAGTCGGAACCACATAATGTGGTTTGTACGACAGGCTGGCACCTGCCTTGGATCCAAGGTGAGCATGTGGTGTGGGAGGTGATGAAGGCTAGACCCTGGTCTTAGGCGGAGGACTAACACCGGGGTGCAGGATAATGAACACTAAATGTATCTCAACATAATCATACACACTGCAATCACTATCATCAATATGTACTCACCTTAAGCTTACATGTGCGTCTGCAGCACCATGCAATAATATGCATATCTATACTAATGCATATACCAAAATGTAATGCAATCGACATGGCGTTTAAAACATAATTTCATTTAAAACAATTTCTGGGAAAATGTAAATAATAAATACGTACGTGTGTGTGTGTGTGTATATATATATATATATATAACCAAAAGCCCACTCACCTGGAGTCTGCGCTACAACTCCCTAGCACAAACATCGAGATTTCACGAATGATCGGGGCCTAGACCAATTATCAAATCACATCTTAGAATCCTTATCAATTGAACACATAACTTACATTAAAACACATCCCTAAGGGTGGTCTAGAATGATTTGAGACCCATTGACCAAAAGTCAACTGTCGGTCAAAGATCGACGGTAGGGTCCACAACCCTACGTAACTCGATCCGAAAGACCCGTATCTCATATTTCCGATTAGTAACTTCCAAAGATCCACATTATGCTTCTAAAACATCATACTAAAATTTCATTACGATCCAACGGTTGGATCTCCGCCAATTTCAAATTCAAATGGCGGTTAACGTTCTATTTTACGAACTTGCAATTTCACTTTGGGAAGATCCGTATATCGGATTCCCAATCGGTAAGTTCCTACAATCCTTAAAGTTTGGTTACGATCTAACGATTGGATCGTCGATTCATATTTTTACCAAGTAACATATCGTAGTGAATTTAGGTTCAAACGATCAACCTACGTCATGCGAATATCAAAACTAAATTCAAGACATCTAATTTATCCTAAAAATAGCATCAATGGTCATCTGGCCACGCGCCAGCACACGCGTCGTCGTGGATGGCGGTCGGCTGCCCCGACTTGCTGGAAAATTTAACTACTTCTAAAAATTACCAAATTTTACAAAAATGAAGATCTCGATGAGTGGAGCAAATTTCACACCTGTGACTAAGGCCAATTTGGCCAGGAAAAGCCTCAATTTCACGAAAACCCGTCGGCACCCTAGAAATGGGTGGTTCTTGATTCGACTCCATACAAGCTCCGACGTCTCCAAGGTTGATTGGGCTTGTTTATGGGTTCATGAAAAGTCTATTGGTGGTGGCATTCTAAAGAAATTGTTTCACAAATGGTGGTTTGAAGCCAAGAACCACTTGGACCTGTCAGTGAGTTTTCTCCAACATTGGGACTAAAACTCGTCGATTTTGGTTATAATTAGCTGCTAGGATGTTGTGATGAGGTTTGATGGTGATGAAAGGTTGAAGAAAGCCAGAAATTTGGATGGAAAACCGTTGGAAAACACTAAGGGAATTGGGTCATTGCACGTGTCAAGGGAAACCCGGCCCTTTCCCCTCATTTTTCTCCTCCCTCCTTTCCCTCATTTCCCTCTTATCTGGTTGGTCATTCTCTTCTTTCTCCTCTCCCCATTTGCCTTCACCTCTCCCTCATTCTCTCCTTTATTTCCAACCTCCACCGCCCATCTCTATTTTCCTTTAATCTGGGCCACACACGTGGCACCATCAGATTTTTTTGCTCCAAAATCTGGAGCATTCTAGAATTTATTAATTTACAATTTCACCATTAACTTTAAACGTTAATATCTCCTTCGTTATAACTCCAAATAACGTTTTGTTTGAGTCCACGCATCCGTAGTGATGAGTACTACGAGGACATCCCAAGAAAATGAGTCTTACGTGACACAACACAACAATCAACAAAAGTCAACACTTTGCATCGAAGGGCATTTTTGTAAATTCCCTTATTAAAATTATAAAAATCAAAATGTTTAGGGACGGGCTGTTACAATCTACCCTCCTTAAGAAAATTTCGTCCCCCAAATTTAAAATAACTGGCTAAATGTAAAATACTCGAAAATAGGGAGGAAATATGTATGTAAATACATATGCAAGGAAGAAATAGAGTTAGAGCGGCTGCATAAAAGAGAATGTCATTATGTCACGATCAGATTGCAATTATTCCTCTTTCATGCCTCCAAGCTCATACCTTACTCATTCCTTGATAATATAGTAGTATAATACCCATATAAACCGTAAAGTTGAAAGCACCAATTATTACATAATAACATAAAGAGAAATATACCTATAATAAAATATCAAAAATATATACATATATATATAAAAACGTACGATTCAAATTGTGAACACGAATTTTTCCTGAAACTAAAGAGACAAGAACAACATGCACAAAATAATATTTGTATTTGATGATTTTATGGTTACAATTTCTCTCAAATTTGATCATCTGATTCGATCTCCGTAAGGTGTTGATTTGTGGATATGCGATTGATCCAAAGGGTCGTTGGGCTTGATCTAAGGATGAACGTTCTTCAAGAGCCGTGGGCTTGATCTTGAAGGTGGATTTGAGTGGATCTTCAAGGAGCCGTTGGGGCTTGATCTTGAGGATGAGCGTTTCTTCAAGGGCCGTTGAGGCTTGATCTTAAATAATGGTGATGAACTGATCTTCAAGGGCTTTTGGGCTTGATCTTGAAGAACAATGATTAACGGATCTTCAAGGGTCTTTTGAGCTTGATCTTGAATAACGGTGATGAACGGACCTTCAAGGGCTTTTGGGCTTTGATCTTGAAGGACGGTTGGATGTGTGGATTTGTCGACGTTGTTGATCCAAAAGGCCGTTGGGGCTTGATCTTAGGATGAACGAATGATGACCGGTGAACACTTTCTTCAAAGGTTGTCGGGATTTGATCTTGGAAGAATGATGAACGAAGAACGAAGAGGGCTTTCTTGATTCTTCGGGAACCTGGATGCTTGAGAGCTTCGGAGTTTCAGAGCTTCAAGGTTTTGGTGTAATATGAATTGGTCATGAATTGGTTCCCCAAATGAATGCATTGGCTTCCTATTTATAGAATTTTCCAATGCCTAATTTTGAATATATTATTCAGATGAAATAAATCGTTTCTGCCAGGTGTTAACACGTGTCCTGTTTGATGACTTTTCTGATGATTCTCGATTTTTCGTTGAGTCACCTGCTATGTGTAAAATTTATGTGACATGTGAACGTTGAAATTTTAATTATTGATCAACATTTATTTCACCGAAATTTCGATGTCTACACAAATACTTATATTGAGTTTAAAACCAAGAGTGAAAATAACACACCCAGAATTTGTAATGGCAGAAATACCCATATAAATAAAATAACGTGGTTGAAGAATGTTTGCACGAAAAATTAAAACTAAAAATGAAAATGGACCTCGCCAAACAGTCGTCGTGTCACAAACTTCGAGAATAAGCTTGAACAATAGCTAACTAGTAAGTGTTGCCATCGATGAGCCGACTTGCTCACTCGCTTAGTGAACCCAACAATTAAGTCACCAATATTACAGTTTGTAGCCTGTAATGACGATAACTCATCGTTGTCTCAATAAGCTACTGAGAAGTTCCCGAGGATGCCAAAATATCATTTTGCTCCTCATGTGCGAATATGCCTCGATCATCCAATTCATGTCTTGATCGTGATGTTGTACTATCCAGAGCGCACTAATCCAGTTGCTAGAAGTGTTTCGACGTCCACATCCCCACAACAATAAGACCCTGGAATGAAGCAGTGGAAATATACATAGACGAACGCATATTGCGAAAAACTTCCTTCGTGACTAATCACTAGAGTTGCTCTCCCAATCGAAAGGTATAAGATTTGAAAGCTTAAATTAGAGAAACCATATCTCTGATGACTTTCTTCAAATGACAGTTGCAATTTTGAGCCGCACTGGAAAATTAACGCCACAATCACCAAGCTCAAAACCTACGTTCTAACCTTCACCAATACCTTGCAGAAATAGTGTTCAATCCTCAAAGCCGCTTAAATTTCTTCTTGGTAAGTTTGGTAAACTTGCAAGAGGATTATATTCCAATGGTTCATGCTAGCATCCATATGAAATTGGCGCACACATCCGCCAAGACGACTTATCATGAATTTCTCATTGATTGAGCGAGAAACCATGTCGAGAAGGCTAAAAGAACATTCAAGAATTTGAGAGTCAAAACAAGTTCATCAAATTTAAAGTTCAAGATATCTAGATTGATTGTCTACCATCCCACTACAACTTCCGAAATATTCAATCACCAACGTTAACGATCCATCCAACGGAGTATTTGACAAGTGATTGAAGAATTAATGATCATAACTAGATTTCAATATCCAAACAATTCTTCTAAACAATCTACCTATCTCCTAAATAATACGAACTGCAGTAAAGTAGACACGTACCCAAAGTCGACTAGAATGTCTTTCCAGCACAAATGAGTGAATATGGAGTCACAGTAAAAAATGCTGATCGAAATGCTAGAAAATTTGATAAATTCAAGAACGGGTAATTTTACCAAGTAGTCTAAAATATAGTCCATTTGGACCAATGAAAAATGGGTTTACTTGTCAAATCGATCTATAAACATCGAAACATCATCATAATCTCCATATGTACAAGATACCTCGTACCAGGAGCTTATGGGGATATTTCCCATTTGCATTTGGGTGCAAAAAATGATTATAATCACTCAAACGATTTCTTGATGGGTTATAGGTAACGTCATATCGATACTCGTGAACTTCAATTGGAATGGGATAAAGAAGACTGAAAATGTTTAGGAGTAGAAACAATTCTTACTACGGTGCTTAATAATTACGTTTGCACAACCGGGATGATCCACGATAGTGCAATCATAGACGTTAATTTAGTTCTTCCAATGCTGCTATCAGAAACTTAGCTCTTTCCAAAAGTAAGTGAAATTGGGAAGTTTTAAGGTTAATAAAGATTTTGGACATATTTCTCCACAGAAGAGTACCAATCGGTTTTCAAATGAAAATGACAACTGTTGACTCTAGGTCATATTTATGATGGCTTATTTTGATTGGTTCTACTGTTGGGAAATGTAAACGATACTCCATTATACTACCTCTACACGGTTAAAATACCCAATGAACATGTCATCATGGATTTCCAAAAATGGTCAATGTCATCGAAAAGTGTAAAGCGATGGTGAGGTGAGAACAACAGTTTCGTTGACAGAAACTTTATCCATAATCAACACCCCAAGCTTAACTAACTTTCCTTGGCCGATAAGGGAGGAAAACATTGTAGCCGAAAATCGCTAATCAATTGTCGATAAACTCGACAAGTTATGAGAAGGTCGTTGATAAAACCATTGTGAATGTGTCAAGTTATGAAAAAAACTCGGGTTACAAAGGTTGGTCAGCTAGATCATCAGTTCAAAGTAAGGGATAATGGTTCTTAATCGTTACCCAAGGAAATACTAAAATTTAGGTATGATCCTAAGGTTCGAAGTTCCCTAGCTAAGGGGCTTGGTTGAATAAATCCCTAATTGGTAAGCTTTAGGGGGGTGTATTCAATTGGGATTTTGAGGAATTTTAATTCTTTTAATAAATTTAGGGGTATTCAATTAGGATTTTAAGTGATTCTTTGAAATTCAAGGTGTATTCAATTAGCAAAATTTTAAGATAGTTTATTAAAATCCTTAGAAATCTAGGTGTATTCAATTTAGAAATTGATTTTAAAGAGTTTGAGAAATTTGAGGAATTAGAAGGAATTGGAGAGATTTCGTAGTGTATTTTAAGCATCTACAAATCTCACATCTCTCTATGAGATTTCGAGATAATTGAATCAAAATTTTATATGGAATCTCTACAAATCAATTAAACTCCATAAAAATCCATTAAAATCTTTCAAATTCTCAATTGAATACACTAGTAACTATTCGAATTTTTGTAATTTTATTTAAGGGTTCCAATTATTGATCATGGTTGTTCGTTGTAGCTTGTTCTGGTGTAATGCAGTACCAATTTCTGTTTACTTGATGAGAAAGTGCAGGACCGGAATGCAAGAATTCGGTTTGTTTGAGGCAATTTCATAATTTGGGTTTTAGGAAAGTTTAGAACTTTATTTAAGAAAGCATTATCTGTGATTAGGTTGGCCGAGTTTTTCATTATATTTACAAGACCATTTAGAGGGCTTTTTTTTTTTTAAATTTTATTAATTGTTGCATCTCGTGACAAACCGATGAAAGTTTAATATGTGTCTTCAGGTTGAACTGGGGTTAGAACTAGGATAGGTCATGACTCATGGTTCGATCCAATTCAATCTACCGAAAAGAAGTAATTCGAAAAGGAGTGGTCTTGACTTGCATAAACTTCAAATTTACGATTGTGTTAGCAGTGTGATCTTTGAGATTGTATCGTTTGTCGAAAGCAAAATAGTATCCGACGTAAATTAGGAATAGCTGAAATTGAAGATAAAATAAGAGAAAATCAGTCAAGGTGATTTGGACATGTAAAATGAAGATATACAGATGTGGTGATTAGAAGATGCAATCACAAGACAAAGGCTCCGGGTCAAAGAGGTAGAGGAGACCTAGGAAGACTTGGAAAGAGACTCTAAGAAAAGAGTTGGACTACTTGGATCTAGTGGAAGACATGACACAAAACTGAACGTCGATGATGTTCTAGGATTTATATAGTCGACCACACTTAGTGGAATAATGTTTTGTTGTTGTTGTTGTTGAATAACTCACTTGTAGATCCTACTCTCAAATATGATGCTCTATATGATTTATGGACATCAAAATACAAATTGATCAGGGACTAGGATTCTTTATAGTATTTTCACAAGGCCTTGCATGTGACTGCACAATGGATTTCTAAGTAATCATTACAACCATTTTAATTTTCATCATTTATTTAGGAGTTGTTTGGTATTCTATTTGAAATCAATTTATAGTTTTAAAATATGATGAACGTAGCAATAATATATTGGTTTCAAAAACAATGAGTTGGATACCAAACATCTTAATTTCTTGTAAACTTCCAAGAATTTGGTCTAAATGCATCTTATCGTATTTGTGTATGTCTTTGAAATCAGAACTAATGCTCAAAGCATGAACTTGAAAAATTGGTCCTTTCTTTCTTTGTGCTGAAATCTTCTCCGATCTCTGTATTGTAAATTTGTGATTCATTTAAACCTAAAAAATTTCTGGATTATTGGCGTGGGCATATCAGGCGATCCAACCTCCTCCATCGAAGATATGTGGCTCTCCTGATGGGCCTCCTGTTACAGGATCAAGAATAAAACTTAGGGATGGAAGGCATTTGGCCTACAAAGAGCATGGAGTCCCAAAAGATAATGCACAGCATAAAATAGTTTATGTCCACGGTATTGATAATTGCAGGCATGATGCTGTCGTTGCTGAAGCCATGTCTCCGGTATCTATCTTATGATTTAATTAGTATGTGTCTCGTGTTTCCTGTAATAATATTTAACCTATGGTAAATTTACCCAGGAAACTGTGAAAGACTTGGGGATCTATGTTGTTACTTTTGACAGACCTGGTTATGGAGAAAGTGACCCTAATCCAAAGCGAACGGTGAAGAGCATGGCTACAGATATAGAGGAGCTGGCTGACCAATTGGGTTTAGGACACAGATTTTATGTAATTGGTTTCTCCATGGGTGGACAGGTGATTTGGAGCTGCCTCAAATTCATCCCTCACAGGTAGGATATTTGTACAGGAATGGAAGTGAACAGGTTCTGCATGTGTGTGTGTTTGAAAGGAGATATATATTTACTTACGCTAGGTGTGAATGGTAACAGGATTGCTGGAGCAGCACTATTAGCGCCCGTGGTTTACTATTGGTGGTATTCTGCAAATCTATCCAGTCAAGCTTACTCCCAACAGCTTCTGCAAGACCAATGGGCAGTTCGTTCGCACTACACCCCTTGGCTTACCTACTTTTGAAACACTCAAAAATGGTTTCCCGGTTCAAGTCTTCTGGCTCACAGTAGAGATTGTCTTTCTGACCAAGACAAAGAACTTATACCTAAGATTCTTAAAGGACGACCAAATGTGGTAAGTACCCCATATTTTGGAAAATTCCGTAGAATTATTATTTTTTGAATATCTGATGAAACCATTTTGTAATGAAATTAGCTAACCTTGATATTTTACAGATACTGAATATGTAAATTTAGTTTGATAATCTATGGTAGGCACAGATACTGAAACCAGCTCTGTTTATAGATTGTTGCATCGCAATGCGGTTGCTTCTTGGGGATTGATTTTTGAAAGTTGGGTTTGACAACTACGGTGTGAAACCAGGATGGTTGTTTGGTACATTTGTATGTGGAGCTTTTCGAACCGGTAGTAATGAAAATTCTTGCACGTTTACTTACCACAGTTTTTTTGTTTCTTTACGTCAAGTGTCGAGGAGAAAACTTTTAACTAACTAAACTACAAATTTGCACCAGAAATTACATTGAAGTACATACTGATACGAGATACAATAACTTGTGTGTTGAGAAAAATATTTATCAATATCATCAAAATAAGTCACGTGGTTTCAAGAGTAGACAACATAATTAATAACTTGATATATCCCACTTTAAGTGTGCGTATGTAAAAACAAATTCACGTGTTAATGGTAGAACAGTAACGCCGTGTAATCGTATTCTTGTACACCAAAAAAATTGCTCCGTATAAGGAGAAAGTTCAAAATTTGTTCGTATACGTTTAAACTTGCATGTATATGTCACAATTGGCCTACAAAATGAATTTTCCCAGTAACTACAAGCATCTAAACATTTAAAATGATGGTTTTGCAAACATAGCACTCTAATCACTTTTTTTATGCACACTCCTTTTAATAAAGTTGAGTGCGTTTTTAGTGTTGATCCTTGATTTTTCTGCATTTTTTAATTAATATTATATTTTTCAAATAAAAAAATATCGTTTCTTTCACGTCATCATTTACTATCAAATTGACATAAAATTTAACTGAGGTCTAACGCTACAACAAATTTCATAAGTTAAAGTTTGATATTGAAATGTTTAAAACATGAAGTATGTAATCATGATTCGATTCATAATTGAGATAGTTTTGTGTAATTTAACACACACTCACAACTCACAACTCACAACACACACAGTGACAGGCAGAGTCTCGTCACCCGTTACACACTTGTCTCTGTGACTAAACCCTGAGCATCCTATTGACCAAAAAACCCTGAGTATCGAACCTCTGATTGATCTCGTGGGCTGGTGAAAATGGCGGGAGGAGTGAACAGGAAGATATCGGCCGCGTCGGCGAGAGCTCACCCGAAGAGCCAAGCAAAACAGCTCCTTCCAGCTTCCGGCAGGTGGGTTTTCTTCCTCCTTCGTTTCCCCTTTTTATTTCAATTTTTGTAATTTTATTTAAGGGTTCCAATGATTGATTATGATTGTAGTTGTAGCTTGTTCTGTTGTAATTTAGTACCAATTTCTGTTTGCTGATGAGAAAATGCAGGACCGGAATGCAAGAATTCGGTTTGTTTCCGGCAATTTCATAATTTGGGTTTTAATAAAGTTTAGAACTTTATTTAAGCAAGCATTATCTGTGATTAGGTTGGCGGAGTATTTTAATAAGAAAAATTTGAAATTTATTAATTGTTGCATCATGTAACATACCGTTGAAAGTTTAATTTGTGCCCTTCAGGTTAAGCTGTGATATGTTGGGTTAGAGCTAGGATAGGTCATGGTTCAATCCACTTCAATGTACCGAAGAGAAGTAATTAGTAGAAAAGGAGTAGTTTTGACTTGTGTTAGCAGTGTGATCTTTGAGATTGTATCGTTTGTCGAAAGCAAAACAGTAAAACTGAAATTGTTTCTTTCTCCTTGTGGTAGTTGGTCTGAGTCCCACAGTGAGATTCAAATAACGACTGCCTGATATAAGATATCTGTATTTAATCTGGATTCTGGATATCAATATAAAACTAACGGCGTTCATGCATTCTTAAGGCATTCACTGAGTGCATGCTTTCTTAATTTTTTTCTGTGTTGAATATCTCGCTTCTATATCCTACTCTGAAATACGATGACCTATATGATTTATGGACATATCAAAATACAAATTCATGCTGCTTGATTCGAACATTACTTCAATGATCAGTGACTAGGATTCTTTATAGTATCTTCACCATCTTAGTTTTCACCATTTAATTAGGGGTTGTTTGGTATTCTATTTGAAATCAGTTTATAGTTTTAAAAAATGACGAAGTAGCTAAATTACATGTATTTCAAAAACAATGAGTTGAACCCAAGAAGGATACCAAACATTTTCTTAATTTCTTGTAAACTTCCAAGAATTTGTTCTAAATTCATCTTATCGTATTTATGTATGCCTTAGAAATCAGAACTAATGCTCAAAGCATGAAATTGAATAAGTTGGTCCTTTCTTTCTTTGTGCTGAAAGATTTTAGTAGAAATTTACTCCAATCTCTGTATCGTGATTCATTTAAACCTAAAAAATTTCAGGGATTTATAAGACAGCACTTGTAGCGTTGTTTATTGGATTATCGGCATGGGCATACAAGGTGATCCAACCTCCTCCATCGAAGATATGTGGCTCTCCTGATGGGCCTCCGGTTACAGGACCAAGAATAAAACTTAGGGATGGAAGGCATTTGGCATACAAAGAGCATGGAGTCCCAAAAGATAATGCACAGCATAAAATAGTTTTTGTCCATGGTGTTGATAGTTGCAGGCATGACGCTGTCGTTGCTGAAACCATGTCTCCGGTATCTATTTTATGATTTGATTAGTATGTTCCTAGTGTTTCCTGTAATAACATTTTAACTTATGGTAAATTCACCCAGGAAACTGTGAAAGACTTGGGGATCTACGTTGTGTCTTTTGACAGACCTGGTTATGGAGAAAGTGATCCTAATCCAAAGCGAACAGTGAAAAGCATGGCTTCAGATATAGAGGAACTGGCTGATCAATTAGGTTTAGGACACAGATTTTATGTAATTGGTTTCTCCATGGGCGGACAGGTGATTTGGAGCTGCCTCAAGTACATCCCTCACAGGTATGATATTTGTACAGGAATGGAAGTGAACAGGTTCTGCATGTGTGTGTTGGAAAGGAGATATATATTAACTTACGCTAGGTGTGAATGTTAACAGGATTGCCGGAGCAGTACTATTAGCGCCCGTGGTTAACTATTGGTGGACTGGTATTCCTGCAAATCTATCCAGTCAAGCTTACTCCCAACAGCTTCTGCAAGACCAATGGGCAGTTCGTGTGTCGCACTACACCCCTTGGCTTACCTACTTTTGGAACACTCAAAAATGGTTTCCCAGCTCAAGTGTTCTGGCTCAGAGTAGTGATTGTTTTTCTGACCAAGACAAAGAACTTATACCTACGATTCTTAAAGGACGACCACTTGCGGTATGTACCCCATATTTTGGAAAATTCCTAGAATTTTTTTTTGAATTTTTAATGACTCCATTTCATAATGAAATTAGCTAAATTTGATATTTACAGATACTGAATATGTAAATTTAGTTCAATAATCTGTGGTAGGCACTTATCCTTGCTAGCTGTCTGAAAATTAGGCTAGTTTTTATAACAAAAGATTAGGCTAGTTCTTTCCATCTTGATTTTATGCTGAAATAAGTAAAATTGAATCACTTAATGTGGGGATTATATAATACTGTTGATGTATAGTGAAGTAAATAACGAGCTATATCCCGGACTTGTTTTCTATGTTTAGTTCAATAGCATACAACAGCAACAAAGCCTTTTCCCACTAAGTGGGGTCAGCTATATGAATCCTAGAACGCCATTGCGCTCGGTTTTGTGTCATGTCCTCCGTTAGATCCAAGTACTCAAGTCTTTTCTTAGGGTCTCTTCCAAAGTTTTCCTAGGTCTTCCTCTACCCCTTCGGCCCTGAACCTCTGTCCCGTAGTCACATTTTCTAACCGGAGCGTCAGTAGGCCTTCTTTGCACATGTCCAAACCACCGGAACCGATTTTCTCTCATATTTCCTTCAATTTTGGCTACTCCTACTTTACCTCGGATATCCTCATTCCCAATCTTATCCTTTATCGTGTGCCCATATATCCCACGAAGCATCCTTATCTCCGCTACACCCATTTTGTGTACGTGTTGATGCTTCACCGCCCAACATTCTGTGCTATACAACATCGCTGGCCTTATTGCCATCCTATAAAATTTTCCCTTGAGCTTTAGTGGGCTACGACGGTCACATAACACGCCGGATGCACTCTTACACTTCATCCATCCAGCTTGTATTGTATGGTTGAGATCTCCATCTAATTCTCCGTTCTCTTGCAAGATAGATCCTAGGTAGCGAAAACGGTCACTTTTTGTGATCTTCGCTAGATTGCTCCGGTCATTAGTGTGGATAAGTATATAAATGGATAGAGATAGGAAAGCAAACACAAGATGTACGTGGTTCACCCAGATTGGCTACGTCCACGGAATAGAGGAGTTCTCATTAATTGTGAAGGGTTTACACAAGTACATAGGTTCAAGCTCTCCTTTAGTGAGTACAAGTGAATGATTTAGTACAAATGACATTAGGAAATATTGTGGGAGAATGATCTCGTAAAGACGAAACTTCTAAGTACCGGAGTGTGGTATCGTCTTGACTTGCCTTATCTGTCTCATAGGTAAATGTGGCATCTTCTCTAGAATTACTCTTCCTCCATCCAGGGGTGGTATCTGTAACTGGTGGAGATGCACAAGGTAATGTATCAATTTCACTTGAAGCTTACTTGTAGTTTCAGGCTTGGTCAAGCACGATACAAACCATGTAGTAGGAGTCCCCCAAGTCGCCGGGCTAGGGGATCTGCTGAAAGAGGTGACAGACAAGGTAAGCAATCAGAGCTCCGGCTGATTGTTCACATTCTCCCTATCTTGCAGGCAGCATGAAGGATAAAGAGAAGAAAAATGAGAAGAGATGATATGGGATACTTTTGCTTTTGAAGAAGTAACTTTCCACAGGCTTATTCTTGAACCGGGCTGGAGGGTTTTCTGGTTTCCTCCAGAGTATAAGGCCGACTGAAGAATTTGAGGGTCAAAACAAGTCCATCAAATCTAGAGTACGTTCGACCCTGCTGATATGGGATACTTTTCCTTTTGACAGAGTAGTGGATGTATCGGCACGTGTGATGTTACGCTTGTGTCCACATGCTTCCTTGTATCCTTCTCACTTGCCCTATCTGTTCCTCAGGCAGATGCGGTATCTTCCCTGGAAGCATAAGATGTTGAAGATGAG